TCTTGGGGCTCTGTCCAGGGGGGTTCCTGACCCCCTGCCAGGGTCCCAGACCTTCCAGGGCAGCCAGAGGGAAGCCCTGGATTCCCACACCATTTGTTATCCCAGCAACTAATGTAGAAATCACTTAGGGTCCTACTGAAAACCTCCCTCAGACAGGTAAATAACATTTGAATTTCTAAACACAAATGAACTGTTTAAATATGGTGAGCTGGCTATTTCCACCCAGTCTGCTCCGTGTCTTTGCATTACTGCACCTAAACCCTGGTCACCCTTTTGGAGGGAAAAATGTGAATAGTATCTTTTACCCTTTTTTTTTTTCTTTCAATAATAAATTCTCAGCTGTCAACATCTTGCCTCACTCAAAACAATTTGTATAACTCCAGACACAATCATATTGCTGGAGACAGACCAAAGGTAACAGTTACCCAAGAACTCCAAACACTGTCAGGTTTCTCATGTCTTTTGCATTCTGTTAAAATTTAAAGGTCTGAAATTGTCACCCTTCCTGCTGCAAAGGATATCCTTGCTGTGTCCAACAAAGTTTGCTGTTTTGCCACAAATTCAGAAGAGAATTACTTTTAACTTCTTTATTCTTCCTTACTCAGGCCTTAGCTGTTAAAAATTAAGGCCCAGAAATCCTTGGAGATCACTAGCTTGTTTTCCAGGGTAGGAGGGTATCCTGTTTTTCAGATTCTTTTTTTTTTTTTTCTTCTTATACAACTTTCTGATTTTATATCATAAAATCACAGAGTGGTTTGAGTTGGAAGGGATCTTAGATCTCATCTCATCCCACTCCTGTCATGTGGGCAGGGACACCTTCCACTGTCCCAGGCTGCTCCAAGCCCTGTCCAGCCTGGCCTGGGACACTGCCAGGGATCCAGGGGCAGCCACAACTTCTCTGGCACCCTGTGCCAGGGCCTCACACCCTCACACAGAACAATTTCTTTCCATTTTGCTTCCTAGGTTGCTCAGAGGCCCATTCAGCCTCGTCTTGAACACTTCCTTTTCCCTCCCCTTCAGCCTCGAGGCCCACGCTCACAGTGTGTGGGGTGGCTGAGGGGCATTCCCGACATAGGGGGGACACATCCCCACCTCTGGGGGGACCTTTTTGGGCTCACCTGGGGTACAGGGACACCCTGGGATGCTGGTGGGACAGACCCCAATCAACATGTGTCCATCATCCATGGGAGCAGTAGGGCCCAGCATGGGGTTGCTCCATCCCAGGGCAGTGCCCGTGCCCTGTGTGGCACTGCTGGGGCACCTCAAGTGCTGGGGCAGCCCCGAGCACCCAGTTCAGGACAGGCACTAAGGGGCTGGAATGTGCCCAGGGAAAGGAACAACGCTGAGGAGGGCTCCGGAGCACCAAGAGTGGCTGAGGGGCCTCAGCCTGGACCTTGTGGCTCTGCATAGCTCCTGCCAGGAGGGGACAGCCGGGGGGTCGGGCTCTGCTCCAGAGAACAGGGACAGGAGGAGAGGGAACAGCCTCAGGCTGGGCCTGGGGAGGTTCAGCTTGGACACCAGCAGGAATTTCTCCCTGGAAAGGGTGGTCAGGCCTTGGAAGGGGCTGCCCAGGGAGGTGGTGCAGCCTCCATCATCCCTGGAGCTGTCCAAGGAATGCCTGGACGCGGCACTCGGTGCTCTGGGCTGTTTGATAAGATAGGGGGGGGGGGGGTGTCACAGGTTGGACTGGGTGATCCTGGAGTGCTTTTTCCACTCCAGTGATTCTGATTCTGCTACTTCCATTACTCCTTTACCTGGGGCAGTGCTCATGTTGTATCTGTGCCAGCCGCTGCTTTCTCACCTGTAATATTTAACTAATGGGGAGCAGTAGAGGGGCTTCAGTTTTACAGCTCAGTTTTAAATTGACTCATTTCCTGGGAAATGCCATTTAATGGTTTGGGAACTGCCATGTGCTTTAAACTCTGCTTGTTAAACTTGGTGAGATGAGAAACTCACCGGTAAGTGAAGAGCTCTGCAGCTGTAGCACCGGACCAAGAACCGCTTCCACTCCCTCTACACCAGAGCCTGCCATTAGTGGAACCGATCCTGTGACTGCGACTCCCCCATCTGACCCCGCCCCGCCGCCATGGCCGCGGCGTGACGTCGCCGGCCCCGCCCTCCCGGTCCCCCCCCACTCGCGGCCACCGTAGCGGGACCGGCGGAGGCCCCGCGGCGGCCGATGGTCCGCGTTGTGCCGCCGCCCCCCGCCCGCCCCGCTCCCACCCGGCAGCGGCCGCAGATGGCGCGGCGGGCACCGGGCAGGCGGGCCGGGAGGTCACCGGCGCCTCCGCCGCCGCCGCTGCTGGCGCTGCTGCTGCTGTTGGTGCTGGGCCCCGCCGCCGCCGCCGGCGAGGAGGTGGCGGTGTCCAAGGAATGCGACAAGCCGTGCGCCAACGGCGGGCGGTGCCAGCCGGGCACCGGGCAGTGCGAGTGCCAGCCTGGCTGGGTGGGCGATCAGTGCCAGCACTGCGGGGGGCGCTTCAGGTGAGCTCCCGCGGGGCGGGGGGCCGGACGTGCCCTGCGGTGGGGCGCGGGGCGCGGGGACGCCTAGGGCTGGGGTGGACGGGGCTGGTTCAGGAGTGAGGGGTTGGGTGTGGGCTACGGGGGTGAAAGGCTGGTTCAAGGGTGAGGGGCTGGTTTGAGTGAGGTGTTCGTTTGGACCGTGGGGATCGGGCTGGGTTGGGGTACGGAGGGGACCGTGCGGCAGCCACGTCAGGGATGGGCATGAGGGACATGGCAAGAGAGAGAGGAGAGGACACAGCAGTGGCTCGGTGGCCCGGGTCAGGTTGCCCAAAGGAGCGCATGAGGGAAATAGAGAGGTGGGTACGAGAAGCAGGTTCGGGCACTCAAACGGGGTGGGAGTCTGAGCAGGGTCCAGGGGTGAGTGAGGGCAGTAGGGTCGGGGTGACATTAAAGGTGAGGGGTGGGACCAGGTGAGATGAAAGATGAGCAGCAGATGGAAGTGACACTAAAGGTGAGTGGCAGGTCAAGGGAATGGTGAGGGGCACGCAGGTGATGGTAAAGGTGAGCAGCAGTCCAGGTGATGATAAAAGTGAGGGACAGATGTAGGTGACTATAAAGATGCAGGTGTTAGTGCAGGATAGGACCGTGTTGAGGGGACAATAGGGGCTGGGTCTCTGGGCAGTGAGGGTGTGAGCATGGGGCTGATTAAGGGGAATGTGGGTGAAAAGGGATGGGCAGTAGTCCTGCAAGGGGACAAAAGGGGTTTGGATGCAGAGGGAGAGGTGGGTGTGCGAGAACAGGCTTGAAGGGTGACGGCAGCATAGGTGTGATGGGGTGACAGTGTGGCAGGCTTGGTCTGGAGGTCCTCAGAGGAGGTGAGGGGTTGGGCTTCCTGCGGGAGCTCTCAGAGCAATGGAATATGGATGTTTAGTGCCACGGTTGGTGAATACAGGATGTTTGTTTTGCAGAGCCAACTCTAAGGGGGCTGAATTTTTGGTGTTGGTTGGCTGGGGTTGCACAGGCATAACTGGTGATCAGTTGTGATTCTAAGGGGCTATGTAGGAACAGTGGTTGTAGGGCACTGGATCACTGGGGATCTGGGCGTGATGGATTGCACAGCCAGGAAAATGTTTGGTTTAAATTTTAGTAGATCCAGACAGAAAGTAAAGCTGGAGGGGAGTGGGTAGGGGGATATTTTTTGGCAGTAGGGCTAGGTTTGGGAACTGATAAATGGGAGTGTAAGGATGGTGGGTGAATGGGGGTAGCTTTGTGCGTGGATGTGGCTGGAGTTGGAAGCTGATGGGAGCAGTGAGGAGCAGGTGGACAGAGGAGGACAGCGTGGGTGTGGGGCCAGTTCCTGGGCGGGGAGAAGGACTAATGTGTACATGGGACTAGATCACACTTGGAACAGGTTGGAGGAGAAGGATGTGCAAGTGGGTGTTAGGGCTGTGGGGAGACTCTAGAGGTGTTTGGAGGGGGTTAAGGAAGCTCCTCTTGTTGGCAGATCAGCAGGTGCTGGTTTTGGTTAAAGGCTCTTTCAGGAGAGGTATGTGCAGGGGAGAGAAGCAGTATCCTTATGGGAGTAGCTGGCATTTGGAAGGCTCATCTTCTGGAGCTGTAATGCTGCTGGCTCTTCGGGAGGGGCAGTGGCAGTAGCAGCCTGGTGGAAAAAAGCTCCTGGGCTTGTGGGGAGGCAAGATTGGGCAAGTGGGAGGGGATTGGACAGGATAGAGGGTATTGGGAGAGTCCTTTTTTTGGAGGAGAAAAAGGCTCAAGGAGGGCTCTGGGCAGGGGTATTGAATCCCCTGGCTCTGCATTGGTCCAGGACATGTGCAAACGACTGTGTGTGGGAATGCGGGGTGTCTGCACAGGACAGTGATTTTTGGGCTATATGCCGATAGAAAGTGCATTTCTGCAGTGCTAGGGGCAGTTCTTTTAGTGCTGGGTTACTTGGCTGGGTTGTGTGCCTGAGGTGTATCCCACTGGATGAGAAAATGGGAATAGGCTGAACATGCTCCCTGGCTTCTGTATTATGGCAAGGATTTCTGTGAGATGGTTACTTGCCTTGGATTCGTCAGCTGTGGCAGTGAGAGAGCCAGTGTGTGTGTCTGCATGCATTAGGTGAATTCCCTGGCAGGGCTGATTCCTGGAAAAGAAGGAAATAAAAAAAGGATGATTATCCTAGGCAGTGACTGCTTTACTGGGGAGCTACTGAAAACACCAAGCACCCTTCGGTGATGTTCCTTATGAATGTGAGAGGAGGGTAACTGCCTATATAACCTGAACGCATGGAAGAAAAACACTTTAATTTTTTTATTCATATTTATTGGCAATCTGTAGATGAGTGTGTATTGTAAACAGTTTGAAAGGGGTTTTGTATGGAAATGATTCCAGGCTAGGCAAGCCCTGGAAGTCCAAACTGTGGTAGGCACATTCTTCTTCCTCTTAAGATTTTTTTCATAGAGGAGTACAGAGGAAAGAAAGAGAAAACTATTTCTGCTCCTTGTTTTCCTATGTAGAATGTGTTTAGAAATTTGTTTACCTGGGGTGATTGCTTGTTTGGATTCTGGTGAGGATTGTTTGAGCCTGATGGCCAATACAATCCACCTGTGGCTGGACTTGAGCGAGAAAGTCACGAGTTGTGAGGGAGTGAAATATAGTAGTTAGAAAAAGTAAGTATGTAGTTTTAGTATATCCTTTAAATAGCATATGAATGTATTATAGTATAGTTATAATAAGTAATCATTCAGCCTTCTGAACTAGAGTCAGACATCAGCATTTCTTCCCACCGGGTTCGCCTACATTTACAATCCAAACGTAGCTTTTAAATGTCTTTTTGCCACTGTCATGACAAGCATTTTCTTTTAGCTGGAAGAGAACTTAAAGGAATAGCCTCATACCTGTTACTTTATTGGAGAAACTTAGGATATTTGTTATTTTAAGGGGACTGGATTTGAGAGGCTTCTTTTCTGAATGGTAATGCCAAGTGAAAAAAGAATTGGTGTATATTCACTGCTAATAGAACCTAAACTTTTTATCCTCTTGCCTGTTTTGATAAAACGTTTTTTCTTTCTCATATATAATTCTAGTCTAAAAGTTTGCCTGAAAAATATAATAAATTTTTTTCTTTATAGATGGTTTATTTGTCTGTTTATTAGTTTTATTAAGGAGTTCAAATTCCTAGTAATATCTTTAAACTTGGAGCTCTGAGAAATGCAGAGAAGCGGTGTTCATAGTTTTGCAGTCATGTGTCTTCTTTCACATGCCTTGAGTTTGCTCTGTCTCCTGTCAGACTTGGCTCTGCAGGAGGTTTTTGTTTGGTTCACTGTTGTCATGAGTTTGGCTTTAAAGGACCTAGTGTGTTATTAGATGCTATAGGTACAAATGGGAAGTAGAAGAGCAGGTGAAAATTATTTTCTAACTGCAGTGTATTATTTGTGCTTATCTGCTGGACTGAGAGATGTAATTAAATTTGGCATGTTAATCATCCTATCTTATCTAGATGTATGTGATGGCTCTATTTGTGGCCTTGACTGTTTTCATTTACATTGTAAAGATACACCTTGTGCTTCACTAACCTATTAATCTCTCACATCTTCTTGCATTCACGTGGAGGATGAACATTGTAGCATTGAGCTGCAGTCTTCTAATATTCCATTTCCCTTTTTCCCTGGGAAAACTTTTTTTTAGACTGCAGTTAGATGTAGTAGTAACGCACCCCAGATCGGTGGTGCTTTTTAGAGGTGGAAGGCTGATTTAGGAAGGACTTCAGATGACTTTTTTTTAAAATGTGGAACCAGCCGCTTTAGTTGTTCAAAGATAAACATCTTGGTGTTAACAGATGCTGAACCAGAAAACATAGAATGTGCCTGATGTGCTTGTGTCTTCTATTTCAGTACAAACTCCAGAGGGCTCTGGGCTGGCTGGAGGCTGCTGTGAGCTTCGAGCTGCCATGGTATGGGCAGGAGAGGAGCTGCTGCTGGGAGGGATGAGAAATTCCCTAGTCACAGAGCTGCAGCAGCATCCTGAGATTACATTTGGAGCAGTGGGAGCTTGGGAGCTCCAAACTTGAGAGTGAAATTGGCAGCATTGATTATTGTACAATCAAAAAGATGCTGCCTGCTTGGTTAACAGACTCTTCAAAGCACTGTCTGCAGCTCAGTGACACAACCTCTCATCCTTCCTAAACTGAGTTGTCAGCCAGCTGCCTAATTAGCAGATGGAATTAAAGGTGGAAAAGGCCTCTAAGATCATCGAGTCCAGCCACCCCCCAGCACTGCCAAAATCACCACTAACCTTATCCACATGCTTTTGAGCACTTCCAGGGACGGCAGCTCAGCCACTTTCCTGGGCAGTCTGTTCCAGTGCCTGACCAACCTTTCCCCAGTATACAGTCTCACCCCCCACCAGAAGTATAACTTGAGGCCATTTCCTCTTGGTCCTGTCTCTTGTTCCCTGGGGAGTAGAGCTCGACTCCCCCTGGCTGCACCCTTTCATCAGAGAGTTTTAGGGAGTGAATGAGAATGAGCTCTTCTCATTCTATCCCTGAGTTTTTCCAGGCTGAGCCCTCCCAGCTACCCCAGCCACTCCTCACCAGACAAGGCAGGTAGAGCACAGAGCAAGAAATGACCTCTGGTTCTCTTATATGTATTGTCCTGAGATTGTAAAGGGTTGGATTAACAAATTCAGGATAATGATTGACTTATTGAAAAGTCAGTGTATGTGGATTGTGTGTGTAGTCTCACTGATGGGCAGTTGGATGTGTCATGGCGGCTGAAAATAATATTTTGACAGTATAACGAAATACCAAATGATTCCAGGAATATGGATTTTGTATGTAAAGGCACTAGTGCTCCTTTCATGGTAATACTCTTTTTGTGGTGGGAGATGGCAAATGCTAAGCAGGACCATACAACCTGACAGCTGGGAAGTAAAAAAACAGATTAGAGTGTATCCTTTAAACTCCCTTTTTAGTAATATAATGGGAGCAGTTATGTGTTGCTGATTCAATGTTATGAAGG